GTGACATGTGGAAACTGTTTTACGGTAACTTTTATTTTTCAAAAGGAAAAGAAGAACAGTTTTAGTATAAAATAAAACGAATTTATTTGATTTTCTGGTAAAGCTAACCGATTCACTTCTGCCATTGTATGATTTTCATTTTAATAAGAAATAATTAAACCAGCTGTGCGTCTGTATTTCCTTTCGTCTGTTTGGAAACAAACTTTTCTGTAAATTTTAGAGAGATCTAAAATTATGAATTTGGTGAGCATAGAAGGATTCTTACGCTGTATTGATCATTTGCTTTTTTTATATTATACACATTTATAGCCGACTTTAGATTTTTAGGTTATAAATCCGCCAACAAAATATGGCAAGGCGCTAAATTTGAAATTTTATATCGATTACTTAAAATTAGTATTTACACGGAAACCCTCGGAATCGGAAGTCTGTATTACATATAATATCCTTCTTACAACCTTCTGCTCAGTTATGAAATTTGAGGTTAAGATCGTCAAAAAACATGCTATACATAAATATTTTATGTGTTCATAAAAGGTGTAGAGATTTCTTAGACCTACATATATCTTAAAAACAAAACAGTTATGATAAATTTCATATTTAATAATAATGACTTCACTTGAATTTGTGAGCTATGTCATCAATATGTTATAACTGGGTCTAATATTGTTAAAAAACTTTTATAAATATCGACAAGATCATTAATTCTTGTATCACGCAGCGTGCAGTCAAATAAGAAATCATAACAAAAGCAATTTAAATTATTTATTTAATGTATATCTTGCTAATTTTTCCCTAATTGCAAATGATAATTGTAAGTGGCTTTGTTGTTTTTATTGCAACGGGGCTATTTATTATTCAATTTAATTAATCCGCCACTTGAAGTTGCCATAATGGATTTGTGAGACAAACTCCCATGCTGGCAGTGTTGTTGCTATCGATTAACTGACAGGCAAATAGAAAAATATTAAACAAAAGCAAAAAAACAGAAAACAAACAACAACAATATTAGGACAACCACTATTTGTTTGGATTGTACGACGTTTAATGCGTTTCTTTTGTATTGCTGTTGCTGTTGCTGCTGCTGTTGCTGTTGCCGCTACTATTGCTATGTCAATGCTCTAATAGCTATTGTTATAACCATTGTTGCCGCTATCATATACCCTCGATCGGTGTTGCTGACATCGGTACGGTGTTACATAGATATGTATGTATGTACATATGTACATAACAATCAATGCATATTGACGTATGTAAATATGTATAGAGATTTGCACACTTTCTGCATAAATACATATGCATTTATGTATGTATGTGTGTATGAATATGTATATATGTATGTATATCCATAGGCAAATATTGTGCGGGTACAATACTCGACTCGGTTCAATGCTCTAACTTTCTTGCGATTGCCACTGCCGCCGCACCGTTGTTGCTATTTGCATTTGCTGTTGTTGTAATCCGATTTATTTATTCATACATATGTATTTATGCGTTTTGTCTTTACCACTACTGCTAACTGCTTTGTGCGATTGATTGCTTTGGTTGCTTCTTAGTTCGATTCATATCAATGGCAATTTTTATTTACACTCGCCTTTTGCGCCAATATATTTTTTCTTTCATTTTACCTTTTGATTTATTAAATAAATTCTGTCATTTTAAGGGCATTTTTGGCATGCTAATTTATTAATTTTATTATACTTTGTCAAATTTGATTTTACTTAATTAACAATTTTTATTTAAACTATTGGCAGTTTTTTGTCTTTTAACAATTTTTGTCTGCATCTTTTATATTCTCCTTTTTTCTATTTGAATTTCATTGCCACAGTCATTGGCACAGGTGTCATCTTTAAAGGACCAGTGGAGATGCTGATGAATGACTGTGATTAATTGTGAGCGCGAAATATGTGAATGAAGAGGTTTTTTGTTAAAATCGAAAGTGTAGCTTTTTGAGATTGTTTTTTAGCAACAGTTTATTATTGATAGTGGACAAATAAATTCAATTGACTTATTTTCTTGCCTTCCTGAATTAATAGTCTTAAAGTGCAAGAAAATTAAGAATATGGTAATGCTGTTAGATATTACACCCCCCATGGATTCATAAGCACGAGAATGACAAATCGGATCTTCGGACATTTGCTTCGGCCGTGCTTCATGTTTAAAAATAATGTAGAAAAAAATATATACCATCGAAACTCTCTATAACGAATTCCAAGGGACCGGATATTTACTTTGCTATAAAGAAAATTCATTATATAGAAAAGAAAAACAATTTTGTTCCTTTTAACATTTTTTATTTGAGGTAGTCCGTTATTTTGGTTTGAAATACATTTTTTTTCTTCTTCAACATAATTTTCTAAGACATTTAGAGCAGTATAAACAGTATTTGGTGCGTTGGTTTTCATTTCCAAATAGGTACGGAAGCCAGCAGCAGATGAAGAAAGTTGTCGATATGTGGGTATCGGTTTCACAATATCGACAGATTCTCTTTCATATTTATCTGAATCTGTTAAAAGAGAACTAATAATGTACAACAGAAAATTATTAGTAAGAAAATTATTAGAAGAAGTAGTAGATTTTCTTTATTATTGTTTCTTTACCTGAGACAGGTGGTGCTCCCAAACTTTCTTGATCGAGGATATCTTCGTCGAAAGGGTTGTCTGTGGTAATGACATCACAGTCAACATCGATGTAGTCTTCAAATGTTGCATTAATATTAGCAACTGTTTTAAATGAAGACTCTAAAAAGCCGAAGTGGGATAGTCGCAGATAGTCTTCTTCGTGCCAAGACATACTGTTTTTCGTTTTACATCCTGCTTTTCTAAAACAGTTTGCAATTGTTTCGTATTTTACATTGACATTCCACACTTCGCTTAAGTTTCGTATGGTATCTAGCAAATTTATGGGCGTGGGGAATTTTTCTTCTCCATTTGTGGCAAAATGTTTGTCAAAATGCGTTTTAATGTTACAAATTATGCCCTGATACATTGGTTCAATTAACGAAGTCATGTTGGGTGGGAAATAAGCAATTTCAATATTTTACAATTGGTTCTGTAGATCCCTGGGGTGCAATTGTCAACGAATAGCAAAGTATTTCTTTATAGAGAAGCAAATTTTCGTATTTCGTATTAAACTCATAATCCACGTCTAGAGATTTGATTACTTTGCATTTCGGATTCTTGGCCTTTCCTATGATAAGCCGATCCGGTCATGTTGCATGCCATCATAACAGTAATCCTCTCTTTGCTATTTTTCCCTCCAAAGCACTTCTCATTATTAAACGCCATCGTTTTATTTGGTAAGCACCATATTTTTCGAACAATTTTGGCAAGGCATTCGCCACCCATTCAGCTCGAGTTAGGATGTTGGCGGCAGCACTTTCACCACACAATGTTTTTTGAACAATGCACTTACACAATACACTTTCTTCAAATTCTCCGTGTTCCAATGTGTCAGCGAATTGTTTTGCTTTTTCTCTCAGTATTGGTTCAGACAGAAGAAGATTCCTTCCACATGCGGCGAATACCTATTTCAGCATTGTTTCGTCAATATCTTCAAAGGTGCAAGTTCGAAGCTTCTTGCGTTTAATACTGGATGTATTATCCGTGACACAGGTCAAAAGCTTATCCTTGTTTTTAAAATCGTAGCTAAGGTACTGGAAGGAATACCCAATTGCTTAGCAATGTCTTTTTATGAAGCTTTTCCATTTTCAACTTCTCTTATGATCAATAGCTTTTTTCCCACAGTAATACTTATGCGCGGAGTAAGAGTTCGTTATACAGAGTTCCGACTGTATGTATGTAGATACATATAATAAATTTTTTCCGACAAATATAATATATTTATAAAAGAAAATGTCAAAATACCTTCTTATTTTACTGCGCGGTCCTACGTCGGAATTCGATATAGATCGATGGACATCCCTTTTTGCGAATATCTGCAGTTTTCTGTTTGCAACTTTCATGAATCATGAATATTAAATATATTGAAGTTGAAGTTTTATTTCTATTGCAGTTGACACCAATGTGAAATCAATTAAGTGCGTAGTGAAATAAAGTGAAGATTTCAAAGTTATTCTATAGTAACTAATTAATTGTCCCAGAAAAACAACGTCCCCCCCGATTCATTACATTTTCAAGCAATACTCGGCTTTCGCACTTTTATTGTCTGTTTCTTGCAAAAATCGTTTAGCAACATCGTGTTACGATGTCAGAGGCCAAGTAAACGTGCTGAGTATCCTGACATTTTATCAAACAAATTCTACCATTCATTCACCAACAAACTCTTCTATACTAGAACGTATAACCTGGTTTTCATCCTCAATTCCAAAACATCCAAAATTTGTTTGTCCGTAAGCGGCTACATATATGTATAAAATATTTGTTTACTTATTTTACTGTCGTAGACACCGCTTACGCGAGTTTAGCCGAAGTTATAATATCTCGCCATTTATTCCTTTCTCTCACTGCTTTTTAAGGGAGTCGAGGTTTACCTCTTCCTCTGCTTCCACCCGCGGGTACTGCATTGAAAACTTTCAGAGCTGGAGTATTCTTATCCATTCGGACTCCTAGACAGCGTAGCCACTGTTTCTTGATCCACTGAACTATGTCCATGACACCGTACATCTCATACATCTCATCATTCCATCGTCTGCAATATTCGCCTTTGCCAGCTCATATAGGCCCATAAATCTTAAGCAAAACTTTTCTCTCGAAAACTACTAACTCCGTCTCAACAGATGTTGTCATTCTCCACGCCTCTGCGCCATATAAAAGAGTGGGTATGATGAGCGACTTGTAGACTTTGGTTTTCGTTCGCCAGGAGAGGACTTTACTTTTCCATGTTCCAAGATAGACGAAATTATCTACGACTACAAAGATATGACTCTCAACAGTGAAGTGGGAGGCATGTAGTGAGTGGGATGTCTGTTTGTTTGTTGACAGCGGCTATTTCGTTTTGTCATCGTTCACTACCAGACCCGTCCGCTTCGTTTCTTTATCATGTCTGGAGAAAGCTGTACTAACGGTGCTGCAGTTAAGGTTGATGATATCAATGATATACGTGAGCAATTGCAATGTCTTGTTAAATATTGGACCTACAGTTTATTGCTTACAATTGACACCACAATGGGTTCCTCTTCTCAATTTGGCTTCTCTTTGAATGGATTCTTGTTGTCTAATCGGTTGATGTCAGGACCCAGAGGACAGTATACATTTTTCTTAATTTTTGTGGACTTCAACACAGGGCCTCAACCTCCTCGCTCAGATGCGTCTTACCTTTGCAGGCATCTTAATTTACTAGGTAATAATTTTCGCAAAAACGAGAAATAAAAATAATAATTACCAGATGAATTAGGGAACATTTCCAATTCAAATTTAATTCTACAATCGGGCTTACCTTGTGGATATTTGCTTTGATATCATATTTGATATACTGAAATACCATTACAAATATATAAAAAATCAGATTTTACATTTGGTTTTCGCTGTTGAGCAATAATGATATAGCTTAAGAAGCCATTAAAGAAGGTAATCATGGCTTCAGTATTGTTTTTAATGCTGTCACCCTGTGGCAGGGAATGTCAAGCCCTCCAAGTGTATTTCCTACATGAAATAAAAACTCCTCATAAAAATCCTTCGGACATTCGGAGGCGACTTAGATAGAAATGTAGCTCCCTCCATTTGTTGCAAAAACCGGAGTAAGCGAGGAAATCTTAGAAATGAGATTACTTCTCAGGTCCCGGAGCTTGAGCGCCTAAAAATAAGTATGATTCAAAAGTGCCAGTGTAGTGACGGTCTTTTTTCTTGCACTGACCTCTAGAACTGATAGGCTTTCTTGCTGAATTTTGAATACAAGTCAGAAATATCAGTTTTCTTCAAATAAGCATCTTGTTTTTGTTGTAAACATGTCATCCTAATGAATTATACTTAGTTCCGAAGTAACTAAATATTTTGAATTCTTTTCATTAATCTATTATCTCGGATTAGTGAAAAACTTTTATGAGGGAAAAATTTAACTCTGTCCCTCAAACTCCCTCTTAACGAGATTTCACTGTATGTAACAAAACCTGTATACATATATACTCGTATATACATTATCATGTTACTTATGAAAATATATTTTGCTTTTATTTAATCAACGACGCTACTAAACATGCTTATAGAATGCATAAAATTTGTTCTTAAATAAATTACCGTCATATTAATTTTAATTTTCACATCTTCGCCTTTTTCAGGGATACTCAAGTTATCGAGTGTGGGCATTGCGCTTGTAACCGTGGCAGCGCTGATGATCGCCGTCGATCCACTACAGATTCTTATCGATAATGTAAGTACACGAAAAGCAATCAAAATTAAGACTGTAATCACACTTTAATTGAGTTGTTCGCCCCCTTTTGTTAATAGCCAATTGACCATATTTTTTTTATTTTGCTTACAGCAATTGACCCTGAAAACTGGCACGCTACTGTATAATTTGTGGCTAAAGCCGCCGCTTGAGGTGTTCATCAGTGTTTATATGTTCAATGTCACCAATGTGGAAGCGTTCATGAGCGGACGTGATACCAAATTGAAAGTGTCGGAGGTGGGTCCTTACGTGTATCAGGAGGTGTTGGAGAATCGCAATGTATTATTTAATGATAATAAAACAGTCACTTTTACGCCCCAACGAAGTGTGCGATTTATACGCGAACGTTCGATTGGCGATCCGAAGGTTGATAGGATCATTGCGCCAAACATACCTTACTTGGGTGTAATGTCTGCGGCCTCAGCCTACTCGATTTTTGCCACAATGGCAGTGAATGCTTTGACGAAGAAGTTCCACTCGCGACCGATGTTACAGTTAAGCGTGCACGACTATTTGTGGGGCTATGAGGATCCACTGGTGCATTTGGCGTCGAAAGTGGTGCCGAGTGTTATACACTTTCAACGTTTCGGTTTGATGGAGCGGGTGAGTTATTATATTTCTGTAGGAGTTGTGCTTACTATTGAAATAATTAAAACGATAATTCACACAGATGTTCGATGAAGGTCATAATGTGGTTACAATGAAATTGCCCAAAACGATTGGCAGCAACAACAACGCCCAGGTTGAGGAATTTGATCGAGATTTTTCTATTGACAATTGGAACGGCAAGACGGGTTTCAGAAACTGGGATTACCGTGAGGATAGCAAGTAAGTTTAATAGGTTTTAACTCTTTTTCCAACTCGGTTTAACAATCACAAATTTCTCCCTATTTCATAGCACAAGCAGAACTCCTTGTAATACACTGCGTGGCACATACGATGGCACTTTGTTTCCACGTAACATTCATAAAGGTGAAACATTTCGTGTCTACCGTAAAGCTTTCTGCCGCAGCTTACCTATACAATATTCTCATCCCGAGACCGTTAACGGTTTCAAAGGTTATAAATTCAAATTGAAAGAAAATGCCTTTGATAGTGATCTTGGCGATGCGGAAACGTCTTGTTATTGCAAGAATAAGCGTTGCCTGAAGAAGGGTCTTGGAAATATTGCCCCTTGCTACTACAGTGAGTCGAAATTAGCTTATATATTTATCTACATTTTTTAAGCGATAATGATTATTTTGTATCTTAGATATTCCGCTGGCAGTTTCATTTCCTCACTTCTTCAACGGTGACCCTACTTTGTTGGAGACAATTGAAGGTTTGAAGCCGGATAAGGAAAGACATGGTACTGACATCATTATACAACCGGTGAGTAAGAAATAAGCTGCTAACAGTGCTAAATTAGATAAATATATTTTTTTAATTAGCTTTGAGAACCCACTTACACACAAACTGCGGACTTTGCGTCAACTCACATAGGCTCCCATCGCGGAGCATGCTTTCACCAGACCGTACTTTGCAAAAAAGCTGATGCTTGCACCTTATTAGTTCTTTATCCCCGTATTTGAATAGCTCGGCCGGTAATCCATCGCCCTCTCCGCTTTGTTGTTTCTCAAGCGGGCAAACGCTATTCTTACTACATCATAGTCGGGGAATCCGTTTCGCCATTTTCTGATGTTAAACTTTCACTGCCATTCAGCAGGCTGGAGAATATATGCAATATGCGAGTCCTCTGGGCATACGTCACTAGCTTACCCTTCTGGGACCTACAAGAGCTTGCTCCGGTCTTGAAACCTTCACTAGGCCGTCGTATATTTTCATAGAATTTTCGAGCACTTCCCTTATCGACCAGCTTCTGTTTTCTCTCCACTGTGACATGGCGGTCCTCATCCTACCAGCTATGTTTCCGAACCTTTCGGATACCATTAGTACGTAGGCAGCTTGAAACTACAGTTAACTTATATCGAGTTGGTAACGAGTGCTTTCAGAGAGCAGGAGAGCGAGTCGAGTAGAAGACCGCTCGGTAGTTTGTTGTGATTGCAGCTTTCCGACATTGAACCTTCCTTGCGTGTGCCTGAGTCGGTATTGGGTCCTCGGTGTGTACGCACGTCGAGAACACTGGACACATGTCATCCATCTAGTGCAACATGTTCGAACAGCCTCAAGCCATTTGGGATTGTTTCGTTGTGGAGGCAGAAATTTCGGACAGTTTTGCCGACGCATGATTTTCACAACGTCCCAATTAAGGTACCGGAAATTTCAGGTGCATATTCGTACACTCAAATCGAGATCCTTAAAATATTTGGGATCGTCCCCAGAAGGGGTGTGTTTCATTCGAGGAATTATTAATTTCTTTCAATGGATCTGGTTTCTACGTGGCGGGTCCCTAACCAAGAGCATAATATTGTTAGGCGAGTTAGTTCAAAGTTTGTACAGATTTATTTAGAGGGCCACTTGCTCGGTCGCAGCCGCACCTCTGCTGAACAGACGCTGCAATTAGACCTCAGTGGACCTTTAAACCGAATAAGTCACCCTTGCTGGTTGGAGTCTTAAGAATTTATCTGTGGTGACATGCCTGGTAGTAAGAGGCAACAAAATACAATAGTTCCCACGCTAGTCGGGTCTTCATACCGGAACGACACGGATTTTTATTCGGCTAAGATCTGTCAATCCCGGAGACCAATACGGGGGATATTTTGCGGTTACAACAACAACTAAAATGATAGGCGAATAAGTCGGAGTGGCTCCACTGATGGTTCCTCTCTTTTAGCCTTGCCCAAAGGCTTCACATGGGTTGATTACCGCATCTTGCCCAAGCGTTGATCAAGCTTTCAGGGTGAGCGACGCGGGCGCAAAAGTAGAAACTGAGTATAGCCCCGCGACTATAACTGAAGCTTGGCAAAACCGCATTGCACTAATCGTTATCATTTAGTTGGTTCATGGAAGCTTGTGGCTCTTAGAGATGCGACATTCCTAATTTTTATAAAATTAATTTTTCTGCTGTAGCCCGACGGATATCAAAGAGATCATGTGAGGATAATTTGTTATTTAGTCAACCATAAGTACTGGTCTCAGACAATTTTTACAGCAGTACTTTTGAGTTTAGAAATAAATAAATTAGTAGGAAATTCATTAAAATCCGTAAATAATTAAACTAATTAACTAATATTAATTAAATTTTCATTTCAGCAATTGGGCATACCGATGAGAGTACGTTCCCGCTTTCAAATAAATTTACTAATGGGCGATGTGAATTACAATAGAGATGTATCGCAGCTGAAAAATATGGCTTTACCAATATTCTGGATTGAAATGGTAGGTTTTTGTGAACTAAATACCATGACAATGCAATGATGTTTTCAATTTGATTTTAATTCTTGTTTCACTCACAGGGCGTTGAGGACCTAACGCCGGGTGTGAAAATGTTACTAACACTACTATTCCGCGTCTGCCCTTGTCTACAGTGGGGACTTGTAATAACGCTCATTCTCCTCGGTATATACTTGATGAGCAGTGCATTACTGTACTGTTTCTGGGTGCCACAGTCATGGGCCAATACGTTCAATGCGACCAAAGAACAAGTCATAAATGCGGAGGCCGGCATAAAGCCGAATGTAGCCTTTATACCATTGCTGAAGCAGCCAACAATAGTGGAATTGAAAAAATTGCCACCAAAAACAAAATTGGTTAGTCATGCGAAATATGATTACGATGTAACGTTATTGCCACTGCGTGGTAACCCGGCGACGTAGAGCTTTATGTGCTTGTGTACGGGGGGACCACAAAATACCCAACTGTGATAATACGAACTAAGTTTAATATTTACATTTTTTGTTTTTATTATATAAATTATGAATTTTGGGCGAAACCCGGCAGAAGTGGTTTGATAATCATTATGTTTATACCATTTTTCTATTTATACTACGTTAACTGTAATTAGGCTATTTAACAATTTTGTATTCGACGACTTTTTATGTACATAAATTATTGCATAATTAATTAAGTTAAAAATATATGTATCTTAGTTAGCTAAGTACAATAATAAATTTTATACGAAAAAAAAAAATTACAAATTTTTGCGTTTTTTCTTTGAAATTTTTTTTTTACGTTAAGCTTATTTGAATTAAAATCCACTATATACATATAAACATTTATACATTGCCGATTACTCGTTGGCTATTGTGTCTTGAATCCATTTCATGTAGTATGAAATACGCACATAAACATCGGGAAAGCCCTCCATGGCACAACCAGAGCCGAAGGATGTAATGCCGGCTAAGAGCCAGGGCCCATTTTTGCTTAGTCGGCACTGTAACGGTCCACCGGAGTCGCCCTATCGCCGAGTTAACACGAATAAATTGTTTGTACATACATATACATATATATATATCGTTTCAAATATATTTAAAATTTACCACACAAGTACCGCCTTTGCCATTCAGCTTGCCAGCACACAAGTGGCCCCGATGGATTTTCACGAAACTGCCATACGCTGCTCGACATCTGAAAATCAAATCAAATCATTTCTCATTTCATTTTTATTGTTGCTTAATACCAACTCATTACTACGACAAACCTTTCGCTATTATGCAACGGCACACGGGTTTTTAACAAAACATCAGTCAGATCACTACTGACGTTCGATTTGCCCCAACCCGTTGCCACACAGTCGCTATAAGGCAGATCTTTGTAGTCTTCCAGTTCCTCCTCGTTCTTCCAATAGTGCTTGCGTGGATCGTGCAGTCCTTCGTATTCCCGATAATGCCCCTGTACTTTCATCAGTTTATCGTTGCGTCGCCGCGTCGATTGTAGCATGCGTGCCTGTCGCTGCTGCATTTCTGTTTGTTTCAAACGGCTAAGTATTTTCGTGTTCATTAACTCACGCATGCTGGGCAGTGTAACATTTCGATTGCGTCGTACTTTTTGTACGCTACGCAGAAAATTATCGCTGAGATCTGGTAGGCCGGATATGCCCGGCTCGAGTGGATCTTCAGATTCGCCTTCAGCAACTATCTCTTCGTCGCTGCTTGGTAAATTGATATCCGACAGTGACTGCTCGTTGAAGACAAATGGCAGGCAGATGATGCGTATATTGGGATTTCTGGCCAAATTGGCGGGGTTGGAGAGCTTTAGCAGCGCGAGATCGTGGCGGAAATTATTATAGCGTTTGTGTAAAATGATTTTATCGACAGGCACACGTTGCTCATAGCCGGATTCTTCATAACGATTGTGTTCGCCAAGCACCACTGTCCACAGCAAGGGTATGGGCAGATTAAAGAGATCACTGCGAGGTGTTCAAACGAGAGTTATACATTTTAATAATATCATTGAACGATAGCACACTTACTTGTGTATGCAATGTGCGGCGGAGAGTATCCAATATCGATGGATAAGTACGCCTCCACACCAGTGTCCTAAAAACCCCATAGAGGGATGTAAAAGTTCAAGCGATGCTTGCCATGGATACTGGCCGTCCTTAGTCGGAGCTCCAGCTATTATACGTGGTGTACGATTAATTTCTTGTTGTGTTGTTTGTGTGGTGACAATCGCCTCGCGTGGTTCTCGACGACTGGATCGTGATCCGCAGCCTGAAAATGTAATTAATTTTTCATATGTACACCATAATACACAAAGAAAGAGTAACGAGCACCAGTATGTATCACTTTATGAACGGGTTCGAAATTTTAAACTTTGATATCTTATTTCTCCGAGACTTTGCACTCTAGTGCTGCTGACATACATTTGATTAACTTGCATAAGAAATTACTCTTACCGTCTACAAGACTTTGGCTTTGGCTCGGTGAGTTAAAATATTAAAGGTTTGAAAGAAGCAGGATATCCAGCCTTCTTGAAAAACATTTTGGATGTAGATCGACAGTAATTAAATAAAATTTAATATATTAAAATAAGTAAACTAAGCTCGCAACTTACTGAGTATTTTAATTAAAGAAAACGTTGATATGTAGATAACGTGGCAACTCCGCTCCCTCCAAGAAAGCTCATATAGGCTATTAACAAGCTTGGTAAGAAATTCAATAAAGATCTATTTTTATCCTATTTCAATTCATTTTTATTTTGCCGCCGCTAGACCGAGACCAAATTTATAGCAAAGATTTTTCTAAATCCCTTCAGACCTCGACACTTCGACGTCTTTGAACGTCAAGCCATCTGAGTGTATGTTTGATGCGAAAGAGTTTAAAAACCTTTCATTTGTACAAATTATGTACACCAAGAAGCACACCACCAATTGGCAGAGGAGATCAGAACAATATCGCTTAGGTGTTAAAATATGTTATTCAAAAATTAAAAATTTTCTAGATGCTGAACCAGTACTTTTCATTATTAATAAAGATGAAGATGACTGTTTGCAATTAGATTCTTTGTTAAGAAGTGACAGATATTAATTGTAAACGTAAATCGATTTCCCTGGGAGGATTTAACATGGAATGAGAATCAATAAAAATTAGCTTCAATAGCCGAGTGGTTAGCAATACGTACTACTATTGTGTTCGAGTCCTGGCTCAAATCAAACTTGCTTATAAAAGTTCATTGGCCATTTGGAGGCAGCTTAGAGTAAAATGTTTGTATCCCCATTTGTTGGAAAACATCAAGACGCCAAACCATAAATATGACGTCGAGCACGGCCGAAAATCCCTTCAGCGGGTGCAAAGCGCAAATTATACTTTGATTGGGCTATCATCAGTCCGGATTTAAGTATTGGGATGTTTTTGGACTCTGTTCTAAGATACAATAAGGACTTTGCATAAGCTCCGTTTCAATACTAACCGATGGTCTGTGGGACTTTCTATGGACCTCAACTTTAGATGAACTCATATAGGCATCAATTACTATTAATTAACCGAAGGTGTTAGTCAGAGGTTTGTTTTGACTTGTTCCCAGTCCGAGAGTCGCTGTTCAAGTCAAACAAATTGTTTGCGAACATTTGAGGTTGAATTTTTGAAATGGTTTTAATTGAATCACTTCTCAAACAATCGTCTTATAACCTATTTCATTTAATTTCATAAGGAAGTCCTGCAAATTAGTATAATAGCTTTCGAAACCTTCTGTGTTCAAGGTAGTAAAATATTCGAATTATTCCAAAAAAGATAAGGGGATCCCTTGTAAGTTGGAAAAATATATTATTTTTGTAGAATAATCTTTCAAGAGCAGTATAATGTCTAAGGGAAAGCGCTAACTGCCGGGATATGTCTTGGTTTCAGAGAAGTCCGGACTGGCACTGGTTTTCGGTCTGATAAATTTATGATTATTTTTCGGGCGCGCCCCTTGGTCGGTTGGGCGGAATGTTGGCTACGCAGTGTTCATCGCCTACGCACAAAAAATAAACACTTTTTTAATGTTATTCTGTCCTTAAGATGTTTTGAAAACATCATATTTTATCGCCCAGACAGTTTTAAATTTATCATAAGCCTTTGTGTTCATTTATGCTATAAAAATCAGAAATACTACTACATATATAATTAACATAAAATTCTGTAAAAAAACCTTTATTGGTTAGTGGGAGATAGGAAAAAAGTAGGTTTGCTTTAGATACTATTATTTCGAAGAAAATAAACTCAATTCGCATGGACGTTGAAAAGAAAAAAAAAGAAAAAAATTTAAACAAAAATTTCGCAAAATTTTCCTTTGGCTATTGTCTTTACTGTATGTCTTCTTAAGTATTACAATAATACAGGGTATTCCAATAAGAGGTGTTATTTTGATACTCATAAGAGAATGGCATTTTTTTTGATAAATGAACGAATATTTATTTCAATGTCAAGATATGCTCGGAATGAGAAAAAACATCTTTGATCAGCAAATCACAAAAGGGTAGCTGCATGCCCACCAAAGCTGCACGAATTTCATCTCTGGGATCCATAATCGATGTTGCCTTACTGGAGCGGACCTTATCTTTCACGCGGCCTCAAAGGAAAAGGTTGCAAAGTGTAAAATCACAAAATCTTGGTGGCCGATTGCAAACAACTTTTCAAAAGATGACATTATTCGGAAATTTTTTACTTAAAAGAATGATGTTTTCGTTGCTTTTGTAGTACGTAGCGCCGTCTTGTTGAAAGTAAACGTTGTCCATATTAATACCATCCAATTGCTGGTAGGGCAATCCATTCATCCATAGCTGTTGTTTTGGCTTCATTTGCGAAATATAAATGCCAGTGACCCCGCACCAAACAACTTTCCAATGTCAATTTCTGGTATTTCCGAGCCCCAGAGGCAACAGTTATGCTTATAGATGAAGCCATCGAGGAGGAAATGGTCCTCATCAGTCAAGATGATTTTTCGATGAATTTCCAGATTATTTTCATGTATTTCAAAGACCCAATGAGGAAAAACACAACGCTGTCGATGTTCGGCCGGCTTGAGTTCTTGTGTTAACTGAAGTTTGTAAGTTTTAAGACTCAAGCCTTTATGTTAAGTACGGTGAATGACCTTTATGGAATACCCAATTTCAAGGAACGACCTGGAATTGACAAACCTGGGTGTTCTCCCACACTTTCGGCTACAGCAGCAATATTCTCATTTCGGTGTTGCTGTCCGAATGGTTTAGGCTTACCATTTTAATATAATCAATGCGTTGTTGAATTTTGTATTGTTCCATTTCCTTTACTGGCGTAGTAAAATGTCAAAAAAAAAAAAAAATGACACCTACCGGACTATCAGGCTAATCAATAGAAAACCTCTTATTGGAATCCCCTTTATTTTTACACAAATAAGTCTGTTTTAAAAGTAGATCCTTTCATATTTCATTTTACCTGCACTAAACTGTTGATATTTGAAATTTTGCGTAGCTGTGGCTGCTATTGGCACGAAAATCATTAGGCATAGCAACAATGAGCGATGCAAAAAACACATCTTTAATCCCAACGTTCAATGCTTGTTGCATGGACGACGACAGCACGTTGCTTGTACACGCATACACACGACAACATTTCCGCGAAAAAAATGAAATTTTTTCAAATTTTTTTGTTTAATTTTGGCTTGAAGCTTTCAAATTACACCCACGCCAGGACGGACTTTACGGCATTTACAAGGCCATTCACAGTTAGTCACAGGCTGGTGGTGTCCAGTAGGCGCACTTAACACTCAATTCACCAGTTTTATTAGGCGCGTATTAATAAACAGTTAATGGTCATATGGTCGTGTGGTGTCAAAACAATCCTTATTTACACAATTTGTATGCTTTTTATTATCACTGCGATTGCGCCATTGATAGCGGTACACGTACCCGTATGCACTCGTACATATATACATACATACATATGTATGTGCGTATGAACAAATGGATATGTTGGACACCGGTACGTGCGCGAGGAATTTCCACTTTCACGTGTTGTGAGCCAACGAAACCGTTAAACGATGAAGTTGCGAGGCGCACTCGAGGCCGACTGATAGAAATGGCGCATGGCATGCAAAGTACTTTTCTTTTCGTTTTCAACTTTGTATTATTGCCTTTATTTCGGCGTTTATTTCACTTCATTATTACAATCTTCTTGTTTGCTAAGCGGCAGTTTGATTTTTTTTTTTTAATTTTTTAATTTTCGTTTATATGCATGTAACATATGTACGTGTATGTATGTCTGTATTTATGGGTGTCAGTGTTTATTTGTTTTTATTCGGGGTATATGTTTAATTATTGCCCTGGCTCACTGCCTTAATTGGCGAGCAGCAATGCTAATTTGCTTCTGTAATAATAAATCACTAAAAAATCCATTAATCACTTGCACCGCAGCGCTCGAAAAGCAGAGCTGGCAGCAAGCAGCAAGCAGCACGTGGCACACGGCAGCGCAAACACACAAGTGAAGACGGAACTGAAAGAGTTTCGGTTTCGGAAAAGTGAACGCGCTGATCACAGGCACTGGCCAATAGTGGAAACTTGCATATTTAAGTAAAACTCGCTTTCGGTTATGGTGAGCGGCGATTTTGTTATGTAATGCGACTGGTCAGTCTACAGGTGCAGAAATTGTTTATGTGCGCTTTTTTAGATTTTTAGTTTTTCTTCTTCTTTTTTCATCACCTAGCGGCTTTTCCTTTTAGTCAGAGCCTTTTCCACAGCCGTCCTAAGCGCAGCTACATACATAAGTATGTACACAAGTCTGTAGACGAATTGATATCACAAAAGCGTCGTACCGTGATATACGACGCGCACACTGTCACTACTCAAATGCAACTGCATTGAGCTCCTGTCGCTGATGTGGCTTCGACTTCAGCCCCAACAGCCGCCACAGTCGCGTTGCTGTCGTTACTAACGCCGCCACCAGTGCGCGTTGCAGCTTCCCCTTCCAATGGGGGCATGTCTTTTGTGTTGTGAGTGCGCCTCACAAGGCCAGCGAGATGCGGCTTAGCTGCTGCAGGCCACCTTTGTACATACATATTTAGCAACTAACACCAGGCGCCGCCACCTCCAACTTCAAGCATTATATATATCTACAATATAATACAATATGTATGAACGCGACAGCGGCGGCGCGCGATCGTTATGTGCGCGTGTAAATGAAATAAATGTTGTGAATGGAAATTTTCAATGAAAATAAAAGTGAATCAAAGAAAAAGGAAAATAAAAAATAAATTGTTTGTATGATGAAAACTAACGGTGAAACAGAACGAAAACAAAACAACAATACAACAACACAACAGTCGCAAGTCGTCGCACATTGTGCTAGTGCCTAACTAACAACAATATGACTTTGCGGTAGTCAAGTAACCATCCAAGCGCGCCGCGCCGCGCCGCCGTAACTACGTTGGCCGTAGCGACTGTGTACGATGCACAGTGGTATTCGGTTCAACGAAAATTGTTGTTAACAGATTGAAGAGAAAAAATCTGGAGATGAATACTGGAAAAAGAAAGGTAAAGTTGTGAGGGGCCTCTGGCTTCAAGCCGATTTAGAGGCAGTCCAATACTTCAATTTCAGTATCGGCGTAGTTAAGAAATTCCAGGCGGACATGCTTAGTAAGGCTCATAGGTTTACATGAATTATGGGCACTTGGCTTAAAACTACCAGTAAAGTTTTGCTCCGCTCAAAAATGCCCAAAGCAAAGGTTTTAAGTAAGCGTACCAGAGAGGGAGTAGTAGATGTGTAGTTATCAAGTTTCATTTGATAATTTCAATCGGTTTTGAGTTCGGCATTAGTTTTCTGTTTTCTTATACTTATAATAGAAATCTGTTATCAAAAAGCCTTTTCTTTCAAATATTGTTAAAAAAGAAACTAAAATCTGCTAGCATTTTTTAAAACCGACGTAAAATATTTTTATCATTATTTTCAAGTTGGATTGATATATGAATATAAAGGGTCTTTCATTTGCGACTTGGCAACTTCAAACTATCACTGTGAGCGCACCTTTAGTCCGATTGTTGACATTTTAAATGTCAAAATATTCAGCAAAATCATGGTTCACCAAATACACGACGAACAAAGTTTAAAAATAATTGAAATTTGCTGCCGAAATTCCGACTTTAAGAGCGTTAATGCCAAAGACTTTCCTCGCATAATAATCTCCGGCGATGAATCACATTTCTGTTTAAAAGACTTCGTTAATAAGCAAACTATGCGTTACTTGACTGGGGAGAACTCTAATGTGTTTCGTGAAACGTCGCTTAATCTGAAAAAAAAAAAAAAAATGACTGTTTGGTACGAATTTCATGCCGGCGGCGTCAATGTTTCGTTTTTTTTGTTCGTCTATGAAAACGACCGTCACGTTACGGTGATTGGTATTTGCTACAAAGACATGTTGGAGTGTTATGTTTTTGAGAAACAGCATGAATTGGACATCAGTGATACGGGGTTTTAACAAGACGGTTTCACAAACCACATATCGGGTGTAACAATCGATTTATTGAAGTCTCAATTCTGTGAGCGTGTTATATCGAGAAACGGTTTCGTTGATTGGCTGCTGAGATCGTGTGACTTAACGCTTAATTTTAATCATTAGTCTGTGTGAGCTCAGAGCCAATATTGAGCGAGGAAAAACGGTCGTATCGTGTGAAATGTGCGCTCTAGTCATCAAATCCCGGGCTGCAAGCGTTCATATGAACGAAGTCGAATTTCATTCAGAAATGTTTTGATATTTCTTCAAGTCAATAACATAATATTTGAGCTATCTCACCAAGTTTGCGTTTTATTTAAATAAGAAGTTGTCTTGTTGCTAATGGAAGACCCTTTATATTTTGCATACAATGTTTTTACAAGTAAGTATGTTTGAAAAGGTTTAACCTCAGTTAGCTGAAGTGATTCTCGGAAATTGCAGGGATTAGAGAAACTCCAATTTTAAGCTGGTATAGTGGATTGTACAGTTTCATTGCGATAAGCAAAAAATTTAATAGACATTAATTTGGTCAGGAAAAACTTATCGTCTGATCCTCTGTCCATGATCTCATTTTCTACTGTTTGGACATAAACGTCGATCGTTGCTGTATTAATAAGACCATCTCCTATCGGTATTTCCGCTTTATTAACACTAATTTATGTACTTCAACCATCAGCCGATGAAAAACTGGACTTCTTAGTGGGAATTTTAAAATTTGCTTCCGAGAGTCATTCTCCATACGTACGATTCCAGATAAATCTTGGTCCATGGTTTACTCCAAATTCGCTGAAGTCATAATATGTTGGTATATACTTAAGACCAGAAACTCTTAAATACCGGAAATATCCGTCTTAAACCCCCGGTTGTGAACGATTTAAAGTCCAAAACCTCGTTCAATATTATCGATCAATCACAGTTTCCCTTCAAAACTCAAGTTTCCAGTACATGGAACTCGTTTCGACTCAATTAAGGTCCTAAAAGAAAATTCGCATAGGAAACTGAGGTCGACTAATTTTAGCAGCTGCTGTAGATACATTCAGCGCGGGCAGTTTACATTACAATTTCCGGAAACTTTCTAGGTGCCTTTTTCTCTGAAACTTAAAAAATAACGCACTTTTATTAACATAACTAAATTTATTTCATTTTAAGTAACTTCATTTCAGTTTGACTATTTTAACTTTTAGCAAGTCCGAATCCGTTGGGGGTTGCGCGTTAACTAACTTCGTTCTTATGCTAGCTGGTAAGCGTATATTGTCTTTTTGCTAGAGGAATGATCTATTTTCACCACGATCAGTGTTGCTTTTAATTTACAGTAAGTAGGTAAAAAAGAATAAGTTGCTTTGCAACCGTTAAATAGTTTTTCGGACGAGCTTCTCCTCCAATTTGAGGTATGCGCCTTGCTGTTTTTAGAACAAATTAATACATTTTATACTTTATACTAAGAACCTTTATTTCATGTCAAAAATACTCCCGAGGAGCTTGACATTCCCTGCGGAGGACCGATCGAAACTAGAAAATTCAACTTAAGGGGGAACCTGGTTTAGAGGGCAAAAAAAAAAATCGATATTTTGGAACTTATCTCATTCGATTAGAAATATATACAGAAATATTTCTACAAAATTTGAAAGCAAATTCCTAATCGTTCCGCAGAGATGGTCTCTGAGAGAAAATGCGCTCAGGATTTTCTCACAACAGTGTTTTTCTGTTCTGTGCACACGATTAAAAAAGTTGTAAAAGTCGCATTTTCATAAGTGATACCTTTTTTTACAACTAATAGTGTAGGCTTCTATGTGAATCTAAAAAAAAATCACAATAAAAAATAATTAAATAAATTTTATTATTAACTTCTTTCAATAAATTATCTTAAAACTTCTTCAGAAACACGCAAAACAGTCATAAAATAAATAATTTTATACATTTCTTCGAATATCTTAGGTTCACTTACAAGAGCAACTCCTAAGCTACAAAAAATTATTCGTTTTTATGTTTCAGATGAAAAATACGATCGCTATCGCGTTCACAAAATATACTCTTCGGGCGAGAAGTGCCACAAAAAAATACGAATTGTTATTGCTTAACAGTATCAAATAAAGTGAAAGTAACTTTTTTTTTGCAAGAGTTGTGTATCTATGACCTATTTCCAAAGTACTTGAAACATTTCATATGTAAGGCAACCTAAAACACTGTGCCGAATATCATGCAATTTTCAGCGTTCTAAACCAGGTTCCCCCCTCAAATCAATTTTCTACAATTTTTGGATGTTAGTCGAACCAGGACTCAAACCCTGGAACTCCGAATGACAGTACGCAGTGCTAATTCCTCGTCTTTACCGTGACCAGTTAAGAAATAAATTTCATCCAACGCATTCGCCCAATTTAGTTTACTAAAATTACATTGGGACACTAACGCATATTATCAAACATTGTATTATCACGACTTGTTTCTCTGGGCAATGGAAAATTGGCACTGTTCTGTTAATATGCTGTGGGTTGAGAGCGTAAAATGGATTTAGTTTTTTTACTTTAAGCCTTGTGAAAATCTACATAGTCGACTGGTTTCGGCTAGTTGAAATTGAGGACGACGCATCGCAACTCAAACCGATTGCTTAAGGGGTGCTTCAAGACTCCATTCTTGGTCCGTTGCTATTCAGCATATTTTTTAAATGACATTTTTGGAGTGTGCAAATTTTATAACTTGCATGGTTACGATGATGG